AAGGTTGACATGGTCCCCGCTTCGCGGCGCGACGGCCAATGCGCCATTGTTTTTGCTGACCCGCCGGTTGGGAAGCACCACAGGCGGGCAGCCACTCCTAGGGGAGACCAGCGGTCTGCTACCCCGCGACCTGAATCCAGGTCAAAGGGTGATCAGCAAAAGGGCAAAGCCCCTGCGCAATCATGGCCCAAGGGCGGAGGTCACAAGGGTGACCAGTTCCCAGGAAAGGGTCACAAAGGTGATCAGTACAAAGGCAAGGGTGGCCAATACGGCTACCAACAAGGGCAGTTCGGTCGTGGCGGATCCGCCAGATCGAGAACTCCCACTGGCGGGTATCAGCCTGATGCTCGCGGGTCGGGATACAAGGGTGCTCAGGCAGCTCCTTACCCTTTCCCGAGTCCGATGTACCCCGCTTTCCCAATGGGAGGGTACATGCAACAGCCAATGGCTGGCATGATGCCGCAAATGTGGCCTGGCGCAATGCCGCAGGGTTGGCAGCCGCACATGCAGGGTGATCCCCGCGAGTTCGAGAATCCGAACTCGCCGCATACCCCTACCTGGGGTGCGGATGATGAGTTGGCCGAGACCGTGCCTCCTCCTCCTGGGGACTGGAACGTCAACAAGGGGAGGGGACGGCACGGCGGCGGACGACATCGGTGATACCTGATGTTCGTCTGCTTCCTTTGCGTGGCGGCGCCAACGCGCGCGTGCTTTCATTCCGGAATTCACATAATGGACTATGCTCCTTGTAGTATTTCTGTGTTTGGGCTATTCGCCATTTCGGAATTCAACTGCATGCGCAGCTGTGCGCTATTCGCGCAACCTGTCAGGTGTATGTCGCCGCAGCAAGGAAGTCATCCTCGGCGGCGTCTATGGCCGCTGGTGATCTGCTTTCTCCAGCACCGCTGCTGCTGCTGGTGATGGAGCTCATCAAGGTGCTGTGGTGAGGATCACGGATGCGCTGCACCGCTGCCGGTGAGGTCCTATTCGGACCTGAACCGCTGATTGCAGCTGGTGGTGTTCCTACCGAAGGTCTTTGCGTGATCGCGCGCCTAGACGGTGCTAATTTAGAGACGTGGTCTTGTGGTCGAAGCACCACGTTTCAACCAGTGGGCCAATGCGCCTAAATCATGAATTCAGGAAATAAATCCACTCGAACCTTACGGTTCGATGTGGTTGCATTGCAAATGTATTTTTATTTCATGCCTGCCATTCTGGAGTTGAATCTTTGTTTCTGTTTATTTTTGCTTTCTCTTGTTTGATTTGGCTACCGGCGCGAATCCGCCCCATACCCGTAATTCGGGGTGGTGGCGGGATCCGGGCACCAATGAGTGCCCGGGTATGGGGCCGCGAACCCTGGTAGCCTAATCGGCTCTGTTTTCTTTTTTTATTTTGCTTTTCAACTTCAACATGGCCAATGCGCCCTTCCAAATTCACTCCTTCTCTTTGTACAGGCGAGGGGGGTGTTTTTGGGGGCATGTACTTTTATCATAGCATGTTTCATGCCGAAGCCCAACGCGGCTTTTGGCTCAAGCTTTTACAACCGGCGACGAGCGTCTGCCATTTCGTCGCTAGCGCCAACGGCGCGGACTTCGTCTCGTACCTGGAAAAGGTGCGGGCCGCTTCTTCCGCGGTTGGTCTCCTGGCGGAGGTGGGTCATTCGCTTTGTTGGGTTGTTGCATTGGTTTGCTTTGCTTGCTTCGCTCGCTTTGCTCGCCCGCGTTGGTGCTGCTGCTCGTGCGCTTGCTGCGCTGCTGCCCTTGCTGGGTTCTTTCTTCTGTTTGTTAAACTGGCACCCCTTTTGGTTCGTGTTTGTGCCGGCCGAGGGCAACCGCTTTGCCCTTGGGACCGGGGGGATAAGGTGGTCTCTTCTTGTTGGTGGGTTAGGGCCTGTTTTATCCATCCCGAAACTCTGTTTCAAACCCTTTCGCAATTGCTACTTTGAGGGTTCATTTGCAGCTATAGAAGTTCACGCAGTTATACCAGTTATGTGGACAGTTAAAACAGTTAAAACAGTTATTTTTTGAGAAGGATGCGAGCGAAAAACTAACTGTTTTAACTGTTTTAACTGTTTTAGCTAACTGGAGATATCTGGTTGTAACTTTTTGACGCCAAACTGCGTGTTTAAGTGTTCAGAGCCAGGAGCGTGCAAAAAAAGGCTAGTTCTTTCCGAAAATTGAGTGGATTTGGAGATTATTCAATATATTAATTTACATTTATCTGATATAGAAGTACCTTTGTCGATTGCACGCGGCATCGCCGCATGATGTATTAAGAAGTCATATTTTTCACTGCAAGCATAGCGCCCGGTCACTCGACTCCCACAGCCCACCCGCAGCTGCGAGGAAGCCAGCGTCCACCACGAAGCAAGCTCGCCGCGCGCAGTCGACTCCGGAAGCACGCGCCCTCGCCGCAAACAAAATACACGCGGCACCCTGCCGCAACGAGGGAGCGAAAACGTGCGAAGCACGCGGCCTCGCCGCAGACAAAACGAGCGGCGCCCTGCGCAAACGAGGGAACGAAAACGTGTATAACACACGCGGCCTTGCCGCAGACAAAATGAGCAGCAGCCTGCCGCGACGAGCGAACGAAAACACGCGGCGACTGGCCGCAGCGAGCGAGCGAGGAACAAGCGGGCAAGGAAAAGGAGACATGCACATACACCAGTCCAAGCGTCCAGCCGCAACTCCTTCACCAGAAGCAAGAGCTCAGCATCACACGCGAAGCAGGTCTCCACAAGAAAGGCCCGTGCTGCGTCGAGCTCGGTGAGAACATCGCTTTTGCAGACCGTCACGTGCGACGTGGTCGCCATTTTCGCAACGCGCAGCTTGGCCCCGGCGCTCAGTTTAGACCAGGGAGATTCCCCACCAGCTACTGCTGCTCACCTACTGCCTTTGAAATTCGTAGCCTGCCATCCCACCAGATTATATACACCAAACAGATTTCCCACCAGCTACTGCTGCTCACCTGCCGCCTTTGTGTCCTGCCATCCCACGAGTTTAGACCAGGAAAATTTCTCACCAGCTACTGCTGCTCACCTACTGCCTCTGAAATTTGTATCCTGTCATCCCACAAGTTTGGACCAGGCAGATTCTCTTACCAGCTGCTGCTGCTCATTTACTCCTTTGTACCCTGCCATTCCACAAGTTTTGGCCAGGCAGATTTCTCACCAGCTACTTCTGCTCATCTGCACCCTGTCCGAAAGTTTCGGCAAAAAACATGGAACTTTGAGTCTCGAAAAAACCCACGACACGCCACAAAACTGGCCCGGATCGTAGCTAGAGAGATGTCTCTTAGAGGAAAGGTAGTAGCAGCGACACACAGGCTTGTCTGCAAAGGGCCATGAAGACCAGAAAGCCCACGACACACCACGACACACCACGACACATCACACAAATTCTGAAAAATACAAACTGTGTCGTGGTGTGTCGTGGCGTGTCGTGGGTTTTCTGGGCCGCGCGCTTTTCGTGGTGTGTCGTGGGTGTGTCGCTACTACTTTTCCTCTAAGACACATCCCTCTAGCTGTGATCCGGGCCAGTTTTCTGAAAGTGTCGTGGTGTGTCGTGGCGTGTCGTGGGTTTTTTTTCGGGGCTCAAAGTTCCATTTTTGTTGCCGAAAATTTCGGACAAGGGGCAGATGAGCAGCAGTAGCTGGTGAGGCCTAAACTTGTGGGATGGCAGGGTACAAAGGGAATAGACGAGCAGCAGCAGCTGGTAAGAGAATCTGCCTGGTCCAAACTTGTGGGATGGCAGGATACAAATTTCAGAGGCAGTAGGTGAGCAGCAGTAGCTGGTGGAAAGGCTGTTTGGTCTAAACTGGTGGGATGGCAGGATGCAAATTTCAACAGCAGTAGTTGAGCAGCAGTAGCTGGTGGGAAATCTCCCTGGTCTAAACTGGTGGGATAACAGGGTACAAATTTCAAAGGCGGTAGGTGAGCAGCAGTAGCTGGTGGGAAATCTCCCTGGTCTAAACTGGTGGGAAGGCAGGATACAAATTTCAAATGCAGTAGGTGAGCAGCAGTACTGGTGGGAAATCTCCCTGGTCTAAACTGGTGGGATAACAGGGTACAAATTTCAAAGGCAGTAGGTGAGCAGCAGTAGCTGGTGGGAAATCTCCCTGGTAAACTGGTGGGATGGCAGGATACAAATTTCAAAGGCAGTAGGTGAGCAGCAGTAGCTGGAGAGGATACAAACTTCAAAGGCAATAGGTGAGCAGCAGTAGCTGGTGAGAAATTTGCCTGGTGGGATGGCAGGATGCAAATTTGAAAGGCAGTAGGTGAGCAGCAGTAGCTGGCAAGAAATCTCCCTGGTCTAAACTGGTGGGATGGCAGGATACAAATTTCAACTGCAGTAGGTGAGGGCCAGTAGCTGGCGGGAAGTCTGTTTGGCCTAAACTGGTTGGATGGCAGGATATAACTTTGAAAGGCAGTAGGTGAGCAGCTAGTAGCTGGTGGGAAATATCCCTGGTCTAAACTGGTGGGGTGGCAGGATACAAATTTCAAAGGCAGTAGGTGAGCAGCAGTAGCTGGTGGGAAATCTGTTTGGTCTAAACTGGTGGGATGGCAGGATGCAAATTTGAAAGGCAGTAGGTGGGCAGCAGTAGCTGGTGAGAAATATCCCTGGCCAAAACTCGTGGGATGGCAGGACACAAAGGCAGCCGGTGAGCAGCAGTAGCTGGTGAAAAATCTCCCTGGTGTCTAAACTCGTGGAATGGCTCGAGCGGCACTGCCGCCTGCAAACATCCAAGTCTCATAATTTCGATACGTGTATACAAGGTTTCAATGTTATTTAGCGGTTATCTGTGCAAATATATCAATACTTGCACAACATTATGTATTCTACAACTGTGGGCTTGAAAAGCTAGGAAATCACTAAAAAATATAACTGTTTTAACTGTTTTAACTGCTTTCAGCCCTGAAAAATAACTGTTTTAACTGTTTTAACTGTTTTGAATTTCACGCAGCTCGTCAGCACTAAAGCAGTTATCCCAGTTAGCAACTGATGCAACTGGTGACCAACTGAATCAACTGCTGCAACCATGACTTATAACTCCTAACGAACCCTAATAGTATTGGGTTGGACCTTGAAGGGTTTTCCAAATTGAACCCACAAAAGTGAAACTGTTTCTTGCTTTTGCTCAGTAGGGAATGACCTGAACCTGATGTTTCCCGAATAAATGAAACCATAGGGGGTGGTTTATAGGTCATTCCCTCATTCCCTGCTGATCTTGAAGAGGGTCGTTACAGCAACCGATCGCTTCGGCGCCGATAACCGGTGGCAGTTGGGCTTCGCAGGAGTTCCTGGGCGAGCTCGGGCTTACGGAGTACCAGGAGCTGCGGGGGGAAGCAAAGTGGTTTCCATTTGAGCCCATACTGTGGATGGACGAAATCAATTTCGCACCACTTGGAAACCATGATTGAAACCGTTGTTAGTTGGAAACCATTTGCAGGGAAACCATCCTTTTAGGGTTTGCTAGGTGGTGCAGGATTTTGTCCATCCACAGTAGGTGCCCTTTTCAGCTTCCTCTTGTTTGAAATAGATGGCACTGGTTTAGATAAGTGTGTGTCCATTTACCAGGGCCTATTTTTGCAAAAGGTCGCCTATGTTTGAGCCACTGGTTCAAAAAACCCGGGGAAGTGAACTAAGTCCCCCAGCTAGGTGCCCTTTCTACCGTCTTTCTTGGTTGGGAGGGTTCCCCCACTAAAAAAGACTACAGACAAAAGTTGGTACCCTTCTTCTAACCTCTCTACTGGAGGACCTAGAATAGCTGCGGCGCCTTCTTAGTTCTTGAAGCATGGTTCTGGGTCGACCATTTTTTTACCGGATTTTGATTGTGACTCATTTGAGTGGCCCAAGGTAGACTTCTACCCAGGTTAGAATTGCAGGGGAAATCCGATACCTGAGAAGTCTGGGTAACAAATGGAAGGTTCCCAACCCAAGGTGGACGAAACGGTTCGAGTCGCTTGCAGCAAGTATGTGGTTTTCAGGGGCAAGGTGTTAACTCAAGACCTCAATTCTTTAGAGGTGAACCAGCATGAGACCAATGGGAAATGACGCGCAATTTGACGCGAAAAGTGGCGCTTTGTCCCGAAAGGCAGCACAAATCAATGGACTTGCATGCCTCACCTCGCCCTGAACCCCTGGGTTCTTGAGCAAGGCAGCTTCAATAGACACACGCAACGCTTGAAGCCGACCATCCAGCGATTGGACTTGAGTCTGCCCTGTGCGCTTGCCATAGCGCGCTTCTGTTCGCAGCGATTTATCGAAGGGGGGAAGGCTGCCCTGGAGACTGGAGAGAAGAACCTAGAACACCCTTTGTTTATGGTTTTAAAAGGAAACCAAGAGGAACACTGACGCCATTTTGGGGGGTCCAACCTTAACAAAGGAATTGTGACATATATGGGGGGTCCAAACCCAGAACAGACAATTCTAAGGGTACCTTCCCATTCTTTCCTCAAGGGATCCTTCTTTCTAGTAAACCTCCGAAATCCCAGGGATACGGCCGGTTATTGAAAAGAACGATGGTTGAAAAGAATGGTTGGAATCAGCCCCTAGAACAATGGTGCACACACCTTGCGGTTCCCGATGTGAGGCACACCTATCCATCCTTGAGTTGTCACTCGCAGGAGGCAATTGAGAGCTGGGCTGCGGAGATGGGCGCGGTCTTTCTGGAGGACGAAATTTCCTCGTGCCGAGTTTCACTCGGATGCCTTGGTTTCACGCACGGTCTCTCAGGGTTGATCCCCTCACTCCCTGGGTTCCGTTTCGGACTTCAGTCGCTTTTTGGGTCTGGACCGTTTTGTTAAAAGCAAAAGTTTAGGTGTTATTTGGCGCAGTCACTCAGGAAGCGAGTTCCAACGATTTTTTTCCACCGCTTCCCTAAGCCTTACCCTAGCTCCCGCGGCACCATGCAATCTCTAAGCCGCCCAAGCCAACTCAAGGAACGAGGAGAAGCTTAGGTGAGGGGGAAAGCGAGGAAGAGATGGCTAGCTCTATTTCCCTTTCCCATTCCTTCACCATTCCTTTACCAGCCGTCGGGAAACAGCGATGGTCTGCTCGAATGCAGCGACTCTGAAAACGGCACCGCATTTTGTTGAAAGCCCATCTCTGCTATGATGCAAGAATTGTTTGAAGCTTGTGACAACTCAACTCTGCAGGCGTTGCTGCAAGCAGGCTCGAAGAATTGTCCTAGCGAACATTTGCACATTGGCGAAACTTGTCAAGATCAAAAATTATCGGAGTCTGCAGTTAGCAACGTGCTCGCTTGAAGCTAGGTGGGTGTGTCTTTGTTTCAGGGAACCCTTGTTGGGGTTTAAATGGAACACCGAAGTCATTTGCGTTCAATTCCTAAAGACGGGTGTTCAATGCAAACCTTGGAACATCCCCAGCCCCTTAGAGTTAAAAAGGGGGGGGAATCCCTGAAATTCCACTTGTGGTTCCATGTTTCCCTTTGGGGAAGACTAGGATGATCTTGGAACTGTGTAGCAACTACTGGGATGTCTTGTTTTTCGGGGGACCCCAAAAATTGGTGGTTTTCTTGGAGGTGTTCCTTCCAAACCAAAGAATGGCACCTCAAAACATGACAAACCTTGGAGCTGTGGTTGAACTTCTCTCGCAAGGAGCTGCTGGACAATGCGGAGGACCCACCGATGCCAACTGCTTTTTTAGTTATTAAAAAAGGCGGTTGCATGGCCGTAGTTTTGCCTTATTACTTCCGAAAGTTTGTTTTTGCTGCTGTTTGCCAGACGCAGCTTCTTTCGGGTTTCCTCCATTGTCGAGGGTAGATTCCAGGATGTATCAACTGGAATATCAACTGCTCTGGAAAGGTCCATGGACTTGGGACCTCTGGAATAGTACATGAAGGTGTTGTCACTCGCGCGTGGCTCACATCGAACCATTTTGCTTCGGTTGTTAACCAGCCGTCCACTCCTGTTTGGCATGCGTTCCTAGATAAGTTGAAATCAAGCGGAAAAGTCGCCTTTCAACTTGAACATGAAACTGAGCTGCTAACTTCGAACTTTCTGGTTTGCATTGCTTTTATCAGATTCTGAGATTTTTTCCAATTGGTGTCTTGGTGTTCGTGGATTTCCACCGGCTCTTTTTTCGGCGAGGGACCCTGATGGGACCACCCCCAAGCTCTAAAGGGGAAGTTGATGGACATCAAAAGCACTGCAAGTGTTCAGCCAGCGTTGACATTGTGACTGGTAGCTTTGAGTATGTTGAATCCGCCCCAACCTCTTGACCAACCCAATCCTATCAATCCAATCCACCAAAGAATTAGATAGGGGAAGCTATTCATATTTGTTGGGGCACACGAAAAAATTGAATCCCTACATGTTCAGTCATTTCTCTCTTGTGCGGTGGGATGGAACGTAATCTGAGCATATTTGTGTAGTTCGGGGTTGGGATTCCTTCCAAAAAACGAGGAAACAATCCATATCTACGTTGGCTCCAACAGGTGATGACTTTGCTCGGCGGTTTCTAGCCATCCTTTTTGTTGTTCCGGTTTAGTGGTACTTTCCATTCAATGCGCGGGGTAAAGCTCTTCCAGCGCGGCTGAATCAGGCTGGACAGCCTCTATTACATCGAGAGACTTATATGTACACTCTCTGCTTTTAAGGACAGCCGCTGGGAAAGCGCGGGGAAAACCGGCTTTCCGGTTGTTCTGGCGCGTTTTACTCAGCTTAGGGAGTGGACTTTTTCAGAGGCACGGGTTCAATCGGGAAGGAGCTCGCGGAGTCTCTGGCCTTGAAGCCGCCCTGGCTTCAGCTCAGTGTTTTTTTTTTTTTTTTTTAAATAAGCCCCAACCCAAACTGGGGGTTCCAATTGGCTTTGGTCTTGAAAAAAAACAAGCCCCAACCCAAACTGGGGGTTCCAATTGGCTTTCCGTGTGGTGGTCCCTGTGAAACCAACCAACAGGGGTACGAGTCCCTCAAAAAAAATTGGACACCCGGGCCATGTCCCTTTCGGACACCTCCAAAGGTGTTTCGCTCGTCTCTGCTTCAATGGTCAGAACCGAACGAAATGGGGAGGCTACTTGACGAGCCACGTCCAGCTTCGGGAAGGGTAAGGGACAGTCCCAGGTGCCGAAATCTGTTCTTTGACTTATTTGCCCGGTTTTGGGTAGGCCACTGGAGTTTTTGATTCTCCCCGTTGGGAAGCAAAGGTGAGGGTTGAGGCCCCTAGAGAATTTCACGGTTGCAGGACTTTTGGGCGATGTCCGTTTTCATGCACCCGCATTTGAGCATTTAACTGTGCTCGCATTTGCACATTTGACTGTAACTGTATCCGTTAAAAAACAAAAACATTAAAGCGATTAAATCCACTTTTGGATCTAAAATTCAAGATTCCCAGGACTCGTGTTCTTGAATCTTACATCCAGTATGTGGCACCCCAAGACGTTTCATCCAGGTAGCTCATGGATTCAAGGTTCAAGGCCTAGAGTCCTTGAAATCGAAAGCGCTTCAAAGCGCCTGCCAGTCATTCCTGTTTGGGTGTGCCCCTTATCCTTTTGGACTTGTGCGCGGTAAATACAGTGGAAAGGCAGAACTGGAGAATCAATTCTTTAAGCAATGAGTTAAAGCAATTCACACCTACCCCTAGATGTTGAGAAAGACACTGCAAGCACCAGTGTTTTGCATGTGTTTTAGCAAATTTGTTCAGTAAATTAAGCAGAAGCCGCGGGTATTGATGGGGCGGGGGGTGGGGGGTGCATTTTGTTTATGTTTGGGGTACATCTCCACCCATCCTTCCCCTTCCCGCATGGCATGAATAAGGATATGTGTCGAAATCGAGGGGATGCCAAATAGGGTGGCTTTCTTATTGACTTCCGCAAGCACCTTACCTGGAGACTCCATGACCGTTTAAAAATAGGTACATGGCCCATTTCTTTCTTTTGGGCAATGGCCAACCAGTTTTTGAGGGTCAGAAGGAGACTCTAGGCACAAAGGGTACCCTCAAAATGGGCGCACGCCGAAACAAAGATTTCCTGAGGCTGGAGAAGAAGAGACTACAACGGCATGGCCATGAGGCGCCGAGCCTTTCCAGTGCGGAGTTGCCTTTTTGCCTTTTTGTTGGGGAGAAATCTCCGAATGGGTTTCCAAAATTGGTTTTCCGATTCCCCCGAAGCTTAGATCGGTTTTTAACCAGCCGTCCGGTTCCTTTTGTTTCCGGTTTTTGTTGGTTTAGTGGGGTGTCCATACTACATACCCACTAAAAGTTAAACTTTAGCAAGAGACCAGTTTAGACAGCATAGTTTAACACCCCAAAAGCATACCCTTGAAAACACACCCAATCACGCAGGTCGGGGCTTTCACGTGGACCCCCTTCATTTCTGCCCCCACCCCGAGGCACTGACACAACCGGGGGGGGGGAAGATAGACCTGGTTCTGTTCACACCCCCTTCAAGAACTTGCTTGCCAAACACACAGCCCCATACACAGCCTCCTTGACGGCTGCTAGACCAAAACAGGAAGGGTTACGTTCTGGGGGGTGCAACTTGGAGCTCAGTAAAGACTCCCAAAGAATGATAGCCGCTAGTGCTGAGGCTTCTATGACAGAAATAGGGATTAAAAGGATTTGAAGCATGCTCAGAACTTACGAAATGTCATGATAGCCCTCAGACAGTAGTGCACTATCTGCCGAGGTAGTCATTCTGACAAAAGTAAGTGAGTGAGAGTTTTATCTGAGCTGTCTACAATAGTTGTGTTGGAACAGGCCAATATTTGTTCGGTCATATCAAGTAAAAAGTCTGTGTTTTGTTGCAACTTTGTTTGTTTGACGAGCTATTAACATATTTATTGTCTCGCTCTGCTGTAGATATCAAAGAATGCCTTATTCCTTGAGCTTCCTTTCCAGTGGATATGAGTTGCCCTTTGTTTAAGGACACCAGCTATTGTCCTTTTAGCTTTTCTTGAGCAGGGAATGTGGGAATGATCCCAGTTGGATGGTTTAGGGGTCATTCCATGTCTCATGCCCTGGCATCAGGAAGTTTTCAAGGGTGGTTGCTTTGGTGTCAGGGAAATGGAATCACCGGGATGGAGGTGGGAGGTCATTGGTTAGACGAAGCTCAGACCATTTCTTTGTGGGACCAGACAATCTCCATCAAGAAAAGCAGGAAGCTTTTAATTCTTCAGGCATCTCTTAGACTGTCTCGGCATGGGGTCATGCAAAGGGGCTCCCTATACTTCACCCGGTGGATGCCCTAAATACTACGGTTTTTGGTTGGTTTACTTGCAATATTTAGGGCACACCATGCCAAGATTTTTGGGGGGCGGGGGACCAGTCAGCTTTGCAGGTTTTGGCGCGGGTGCAGCCAGAGCGTCTCTGTGAGCCGCCTGCTCAAAACCGAGAAAAAAACGCGGTGTGCTTGATTGTTTTGCTTTTTGTTGACAGGGTTCCCCTTTAAACAGGGCTCCTTAAAATATTTTCAAACATGGCTTTTTCCACCAAAGTAAAGGGAAACCACAATTTACAAGGCAATGTTCAAAGTCAGGGTTTCCCTTTGAAGTCAATCAATTGCCCAAAAAGGGAAACCCTGTTCTTCCTGTGGGCCCTACAGGGTTGGGGAAAAGGTAGATGTCTTGGGTTGACGGTAAAAACCAGGATTTCGACCGTGACTCACATGCCATGAGGTAGCTGTAGTGGGTAGTTCTGGGAATTCACAGTCATGCGGTGAGTTCCCTCGTAGCTAGTAACCATCCAAAAAAAGTGTCCGAGACAGAGCCAGGAATGGCCTCTGCTCGCCTATGCGAAAGACTCGTGAGAGCTGAGGGTACTGCTGAAACCCAGCGGTTTTGGCTATTTTGAGACAAACCCAACTAAAGAGAAGAGGTGAGTGCACATGAGATTTAAGTGGAGCAAGTAGTATTGCACTGAAGAGACTGGCTTATGAGGTGCTTCATTCATATATGAGGCCATTCTCAAGTCACATTCTCCCAAAGTTCAAAGAAGATTTGGTGGAGACTATTTCATTGTTGTTGGGAAACATGTTACATTTTTGCTTACTGTGGTTTAGTGGGAAATCCCGACTTAACTGCTAAATTTTTAATTTTGCTCCCCTTGCAACGTCAACCAAGATTCGTAGGTGACACTTGGACTGAGGCCACTTCGGCCATCGACTCGGACTGCGCAGGCGTGTGAGACTAAAACAGCCCATCAAAAACACCAGTCCTGAAAAAGCTTTCGCTGTTTCGCGCGTTCGCTTTGTTTGCTTTTCTTTGGTGCATTTTGCTTGGATGTTTGGGCTTTAACTTTTTGCCAACTAATGGGTTTTCCGTATTAAACCACTAAAAGTTAGTCACTTTTCGCAGGGGAGCAGAAAGCAACCGAGTTTTGGTTTGTTTGCGAGGCGCCTTCACCGGAAGACTTGCCCTTGGCGCTCTTCAAGTGAGCCGTGAAGCCACGCCATCGAAGGCTTCGGAGGAGGAGGACAAGGCGTTTGCCCGCGCGCGTGGGAGGCATGCGCAATGCGGTCAGGAAGCACACGGTCTGCGAGCTGCCGCAATCGGAGCGCCGGCGCGTTCGGTGTCAAAAGATTCGCATGGCCGCGGGCGTGGCAATGGATACGTAAATTTGGAAGTCGCATGAGGTAGACGGGAAGGAACAGATCTGAAAGGTTAGTTCGACACTTCCCAACTGGAGCCTGGCTCAAGTTGGTCAGTGGATTCGATGGACCGTGCAACATCTCACGGATTTGTTTTTTGCTGCGAACCGCTGCACGCGGGTTAGCAGCTGTCCTGTCACGCGAAACCTGTGAGCCTTTTGGTACCGATTTTCGCCTCGCTGCCATGGAAGCGGCACAGGGAGGACAGGGGATGAAGGCGCAGCCGTCAGAGGGGACTGATTGTTTTTTTGTTTTGTTTTCTTTTTGTGTGTGTGTATGTGTGTTTTTGTTTTTTGTTTGTTCCGACCCCCTATTTCTTGGTTCTTGGGCCGAAGCGGCTGAATTAGAAACCGGTTTTTTCGGCCCAAGAACCAAGAGGCAACGAGGTCAAAAGTAGGGCTGGCGGTTGGGAAGGGTGGACATTTAGCTGATGAACTCGTTGGGAGTTGAGTTGGGAATTTCCATATGGGTGCATTCCCTGTGTGCGCGGCAAACAACTCCCGTTTGTTTGCTGAGCTTTGGGGGGTGACCCGGAACCCACCTAGAACAGAGGACAAGTAATCCTAAGCATCCCAGCATCTTTTTCCTTAAACTTGATTGCCCGAGTCGTTGCCGCAAGTTTGATTGAGCAACCCCCCAACCATGCGGTGGTCAAAGCGCACTCCAAGGGGGGCCTTGTTTGCGATCTTCAATTTTGCATCCGCACAGGTCCGCAACACCTTCATCGACATACCCAGGCTGGCAGCTGCGCTCGGAATGGGGCAGAATTGGTTTAGATGCTTGAACGGACAAGGCTATTGTTCAAACAAGGGGTGATTGAAAGTGTTTCAGATAAGCAAAGACTTTGGCCTGCTTCGAATCCGTTGCCTAAGGCGTCTTCTGGAGATCAGGGGCCTAAATGCCGTCCAGGTCCTTCAATATGGAAGCTGACGATCGGAGGGTGTTGGAAGACTACTTGGAGAAGCCCTTGTGTACTGGAAAGCCTGTTTCAGCCTTCCATCACACATTGTCAGCTTGTGGTCTAATCCTAGGGTAGGGAAATGCACTGACCGGAATTCGGCCATGAATTTAAAAAAGGGCACCACCTCACAAGTGGTTGGACAGGAATCCCTACCTAAACTATGTCCCGGGACTCCCTGACCCTTTAAAAATGGGTCCATGACCCCTTTATTTTGGGTAATGACCACATTTCTTAAAGGGTGGAGACTCCAGGTCCACCAAAGGGACCTACGAAAACTCTTATTTGGCCCGAGCCTTCGCCCCCCGAGCCTTCGCGCACCTCGCCGCAGCACTGCAACGCCGGTGCCGTCGCCGCCCGCCTCAGCGCCGGCGCGACAAGCAGTGGCACTTAAGGACGGAGCGCTTGGACTAGGTCCCCTAGCAATTGGTGCCCTTTTACCGTTTCTTTCTTAGATTCTTTGGGAGGGGGAGGGTTCCCCTACTCAAATAGACAACAAAGAGAAAAAGTATGTTTTCCAGCAGGTTTTCTAGAGAAAGTATGTTTTCCAGCAGGTTTTCTAGAGAAAGTATGTTTTCCAGCAGGTTTTCTATCTTTTCAAGGGGGGTGTCCTTAAGGAAATGGAGGGGTCACCCCGGCCCCTTCAGAGCGGCCCTTGGGAAGGAAGGAAGCCGCCCCCGGCCCCGGCGGATCGGTTTGGGATCGTCTCTGGGTCCAGCCAGGGTTTTTTCTTGCTCTCCCGTCTCTTTTTTGGAAAGTTGGTACCAAGAAACGGGTATAGAAAGTTCTTTTTGGTACCAGGAATAGGCAAACAAGAAAGTTGGTACCAACTTATTCCAACCGCTCTGCGGGAGGACCTAGGTCTCGAAGCTTCCTTTGGGCAGTGCTCGCCGCAGCCTTCTGGCAGGAATCGCTTCAGAATGCAGCCGAGGACATGGGCTGGATGTGCAAATGTGCAGATGTGCAAAGCTCGATTTCTTTTGGTCCACCTCCAATTGCCTAAGAATTTGGTTTTACGGGTTTAAACGGAATTCATCTCTACTGGAAATATTGTATTTTTTCCTGGGGCCTTAGCCAAATGGAAGTCCAACTTAGGCAAATCGTCAAGAAGGTGGGAGCCACTATAAAAACTTGGCTACATGAAGTGCAGAGCCTCAAAACACCAAGCTTTCAGAACTCGTTTGAAGGGATCCAAGGTTTCTCTTTACTCCCTGAGTTCCGTTTCGGGCTTTAGTCACTTTGGGGGTCTGGACCATATTCGTGGTACATGGCTCCTCGCACTTTTTCCCAATCCACAGGGAAGTGAGGGTCTGCCGAAAAATCCGTCCAAATCGCCTGGTCAAAGAGGACGATAGGGTGCTTCTAGTTGGATTTGCAGCCCAGGGTGGGTTGGTGCGATAGCCAGGGAATGAGAAATGAAATGACCCTTGCACCATCCAACTGGTGGCTCCCTCGCACCTTAGGTGAATGTCACCAGACTAAGGAACCCCAAGACCTGCACTTGAAGCAGCACAAACACAGCTGCGCCGTGATTTGGGCCGCGGTTTCCAGCAAAAAGAAAACATAAAACCGGCAAACACCAAAAGTTTGTCCAAACATGGGATGGCCGTGTCCAACAACAGAGGAAGTATACCCCAAAAGTTTGTCCAACCCCTGGGATGGTTTTTCTGGTTTCCCCTGGCTGTTGTTTTCCCCCAAAAAAGAAGACGTCCGCTTCGTCGATTCGTCGCGTCAGGAGAGCTCCGATGGCTTGGTTCGGAGGCGCGGCTGGATCGTGTTCGCCCAAGCCATTTGGATGTCGGTTGCTTCCGATAGGTGTCCGATACCTGGTGTCCAAATGAGACCCCCATGGGACGCCGAGTTTTGACACATGCCCATAAAATACGGTAACCCCAAAATGGCTCGCCCTGGTAAATGGAAATGACTAAAACCTGCGGTCCAATTCCTGGTGGTTTAACTTTGAGCCACACCCAGTTGGCGTTGGGATACCCATCTACTGTGGGTGGACGAAATTCATTTCGCACCACCGTGCAGAAACCCTAAAATGATTTGATTCGCCTGTAAATACCAACGAAGAATGGTTTCCCATGGTTTCAAAGTGATGCAGGATTTTGTGTCTAGGTCCCCCAGCTAAGTGCCCTTTCTCTCCTGTTTCTTTTTTGGTTGGGAGATTCGGTTCCCCTACTATAATCGACGGCTGAAAAAAGTAACGGTACCCTTGTTCTAACCTCTCTGGAGGAGCTAGATGTGTTTGCAAGAGGCCTATGGCCATGGATTTTAAATGGCACAGATGTGTGTGTGAAATGTGTCCCAGAGGGGATGGACCAATGGGGCTAAATACATAGGACAGTCCCAGGTTGGATGGTTCTTGGCCATGGATTTCATTTCAAGTTTCCCCCAGGAAAAAAAGATGGAACATCTGATGGTCGGCCAAGGCGGAAAAAGCATTCAACGGAAAGATAAAGAGCCCGAAATCCTCCCAACAACATTGACGAAGCTCAGAAACCCTTGTTTACAGGGTGACCGGCAATTTCTACCAAGAAAACAAAGCTTCAATAATTATCGGGCATCTTTTAGACTGTCCCCGCAGATCGCTTCAATCAATACTCAAGCCTGAAAGAAACCAGCAACAGGAACTTCTGCCGGAAACTAGCTTTAAACACGCAGCACGAACACGGGATTTCCTCAAGACTTGCCTGCCGGTTTCTCCGACTACTCAAGCTTTGGGGGGTTTAAAACCCCCAAAAGCGAACCCGTCGCTCGGCGCGCCTTCAAGCGCCTGGCTATCCTGCATGTCGGCCAGGAAGCCCAACCCATTGAACTTCCTATCGCAGAATTCCATGGTGCCACCGTCTCAGCGAATTTCTCACAGGCTGTGTGTCCCTTGTTGGTGGTTTCGAACGTCACCTTGCTGGTAAATGTTTATTACTTGGGGGTGATGTTAGACGGGGAAACAGGGGGAACCCTGTCTATATCTCCGTGCCGAGCCCCAACCGCCTTGCTCTCGATCCAGTTTTGAGAGACCCTCTGGGTGTGTGTCAAGTCTGCACCGGGAAGAAAGGCAGTCATCACTGCCGCGACGTCAGACTTATGGAATCACGACAGACAGAGACTCACGACTTATGGAAACACCATGACTTTGGGCCCCGGGTTGTTTTTTCTCCTAGGTTTGGCGGAAAGAAACAAACCCTTCCGCCCATTTGTGGAATCACGACACGTCAGAAGAGACCTGGAGCTTCTTGGCTTTGGGGAGCTTTTGATGTCGGTACAGCCCGAGTCTCTCAGGTCGATCCCGGAAGATCAGGTCCTGGCCTCGGCTTTGATAACATGCCTAAGGCACGTGGGTAAAAAGGCCATGGTGCAGGCCCCCTGGTTGGTGAAATTTCAATTGAAAACAAAAGGAACACTTAAAGCCGAAGCCATTTGTTTGGGTCCAAATCCTAAGAACAAGACACACCCAGTTTGTTCAAGCCTGGAACAAGTTGGAAGCTTCCTGTAAATTCAACCATGCTTTATGGCGAACGGGGCATCCACCGTATCCACCCTGAGGATGGCAAGGCGCAAGTTTTGGGCGCCACAGCCTCTCGACTGCAGGGACTCGAGTCGGGGTCAGGTTGACTAGATTCTCAGCTGGGTGTGTCTGTTTATATGCTTTCGCATCGAAGGTTTGTGGAGGGCATGGTGCCGGCGGCCGTTTCTCATGTCAAGCTCTTTGGTTGGGTTTAGCTTTGGTCATTTGTGAGGTGTGCTAGGAGGCCGAGGCGAAGAGTGGCAGCAAGTGCCTGATCTGTGAGGCTGGTACGCAGATCTTAGGCACTCTCGAGGAGGG